GTAATCAGAACTCAAAGCTGGAAGAGATCATCATGAACTTTCCTGTGGAGCTTATTAGAAAAAAAAATTAAGTCCTTCGAACCAAACTCTGCCAGAGTGATATCAAACTAACAGGTGAGATTCAGGTGCTGATAGTAGGATAGTGTAACAGGAAACTTGGGAGTGTAGAATCTGAGGCAGGTGCACAATGCCTGAAGAGTCCTTGTTGGACCAGGGCAGACAAATAGGTTTCAATTTCACTCTTGTATCAAAGGTCATCTTAATGGTGTCTCTTTCTCCCAGCGTGACAATAAATTTCCTTTCAAATCTACCAAACGGCCATAAATACTTCATATATTTTTACACATGTTTATATTTATTGACTTTTTCAGATCCTGTTATCTGACTTCCAAGTTCTTTGATCCCCTACCTAAACAGCATTCCAAAACATTCTACTTTGTACACTGTGAAGTCATGGTCATTATTTCTGAATTACCTCAAATGATTGCATATGCCAACAAGTGGCAGAAAACATTCAAACGCATGCAACAAAAATGTAAGGTTAATCTGAGAATCATCAAACTTGATAAAACACAGCATCTGAACATTATTCTGTGATGTGGTTACCAGCCTGTAGTCCTGTGCCATGCCATAAATGGGAACTATCCACGAGGTTCCTCCATGCAGCCCAAAGGGCTGGAAAATGACCTGATTGATGTTAATGACTGCAAAGACTCACTTAAAAGGCAGAGATCCATTTAATGAAGAGAAGCCCAAAGGCAGAGCTGGATGGATCAAAAGAAAGTAATTCCATTCCACACCATTCACTGCAGGTATTCTCTACATCTAAATGAATTGTGATAGCAGGAAAGCAAAGCCAAATACCGAACATGCTCACAAAATAATTTGCCATTGCATGCTGAAAAATCTTTTATTTAGTGAAACACATTAGGTAAGAAGAATTGCTTTAGGCCATTGCTTCTTTATTATGGCTGTTATCAGCTTCCACAAGATTTTATAATTTACATCTTTAAGGAAATGTAGGGAGTTGGAAATTTCTCATACAACCTCAAGGCACTTTTCACTTTGCAGCAAACACACACTATGTTCGAATATCAGTGACTTTGAAATATGAACTATCTGACCTACCTTGTATCTTGTTCTAATATCAAGGTACCAGAACTTGCCTCACTGTGTCATGGGTGTTGGAATCTACCATCAGATTTGTGAAGGGTGGAGGGAGATCAGCACATGGTGATATGCAGCTGTCCTGAAACTAGCAGAGCTACATGTAGGAACATTTTTCCTTGTTTGGCAACTCACTGGACTACAGACACATTCAGCCCCTCCACCCACACCCCCACTCCCTCCGCCCACCCAACAACCCCCCACCCCCTCTCTCAATTACTGTGCCAGACCAAGCATAGCCTGAGCTAAACACAAAATTCTACAGGGAGGATATCTAATCTTGAGGATTTGATTAAAGCCATAATTACTGTGCAGCTTTCAACATTCTTTTCATTTTGATGATAGAGGATAATGCATGTCTCGGAAACTATCCATATCCTCCTTAAATGGATTAGACAAGGTTGAATAAAACTTTAAAAACTCAAATTCTTTTATTTTGATGATACAAACTATTGCTGCTATTTTGCTCTTCTGGGCCAAATGGGCTATTAGTTTCACTGTCTGTCTCTTCCTATAGAATATCGTACTTCAAATTTAAATATGAGAAATTCAATCTCACTAGTCAGTCATGTTCAGACCTGGTATTTTTGGGAGGTTAGTTATTTAACTGTTTCTAGGTTGTTGGTTGAAGAACAAGGGAGTACTTTACATATCATGAACTGGAAATGGCATGGTGTTACAAATTATGATTCAACTGCAAATAGGTGGATAAATTCGCAAAATGGTAGTCAGGACAGGCACATTCGTTACATTCTGCATTACATACTATACTCCACATTGCTAAAGGCTGAAGTAGTATGTATGGGGTTTCAAATCTGAAATCCTGATAGAACTTTGGGACTTGGGTGTTTATTTGAGGTGCTAATACTAAAACTGTGATACCTTCAATGATCCTTGTGCATCCTAATTGATAGACCATAAAGGGAGCCACTTAAAAAAGTAAGGTTGCTATAAAATATTCATGTGAATGTGAAGTTCAAAGTGCAGGAATTGCAGCTTTCTCTACAGCAGTGCTAAGGACATTTATTGGCTTTAATTAAATGTTTACAGGACAGAGAGGGCTCCTTTGGCCATCCAAGTCTATGTTGATCAACAAAGACTACACCAATTCCATTGCCATCTGTGGCCCATTGTCCTGGAGGCTACAGCAATGTAAATGAATATCTAATTCCTGCTTTAATGTTACGATGGTTTCATGGGTTCCAGACTCCTATCACACTCTGGATTAAATCATTTCTTCTGAACATTCCTCTTAGGCTTCTAACTTTCACCTTAAATCTGTGCCCCCTGTTTATTGATCCTCTATTAATGGAAAAAGCGTCTTCATATTCACCCTAACTATGCCCCTCAATCTTGCACAACTCTATCAAGTCTCCTCTTGACCTTTGCTGCTCTAAGGAAACAAAAACACAGTTTATCCAATCTTTACTGTTAGCTCAGACCCTCTGGCCCAGGCAACATCCTGGTGTATCTCCTCTGCACCCTCTCTAGTGCAGTCACGTCCTTCCTATTGTGTGATGCCCAAAACTGCACAGTGTTTTAGTTGAGCCCTAAACAGTGTTTTATACAATTCCAACACAACCTCCCTGATCTTCTATTTTATGCCTCAGCTGACAAGGATAAGTATCCCATGTAGCTCCTAAACCACCTTATCTACCTGCTGTGCTGCTTTCAGGGATCTGTGAATATGCTCACCAACAATCCTCTGAACTTTAATACTTTCCAGGCTCCTACCATTCAGTGTATTGCCTTTTATAGCCTTCCCCAAGTACAACACCTCACATTTTTCCAGGTTGAATTCTATTTGCCAATGTTCTGCTCAGCTGACCAGTCTATTGATATCCTCCTGCAGTTCACAGCTATCTTCCTCATTGTTTTTCACCCTACCAATTTGTGTCATCCCCAAACTTCCTGATCATCCTAAATTAACTCTTCCCAAACTTCTCTCCTCCTTTTCTGATGACCCCACCCCCCCAAAACTGTTCAGTCATACCTCCCTCAATCCCCCTATTCTCTCCCAAATGCTTTTTTTTTTATCATTCCTGTATTCTATTTTCAGGCCATTGCCAACAATACAGCAGACCAAAATCCAACACTGGCTCTTTGTTCAGCTGCTTGGTTATGTCCTGCAATTCACTTGTCTCATTTAAATGGGGCCAAAGGCCCTTTATCAGGTCAACCTTGGGATGATTCATTGCAGTGTTAGGATTACTGCCTGCGATCAGTTTTGAATACCATAAGATGGTTTATAGCAACCTCTATTCAACAGTGTCAAAATCGATATAAACCCTTGGTAATTCAGCATCATCTACTCCAGAAAGCAATGGGCAAACCTGCTTGCATGGGATTAGTGTTAAAGCCGTAATAGTGAACCTGATGCTCATTTTACATTAAATGAGCAAATCAGTAGTCAAACGTTATCTAAAGTCAAAATTTACCTCCGTGGCTTTAGTTTATCTTATACCAAGCACTATAGGATAAAAAAATGCAATCTTCAGTTCTAGTATGAACTTATTTAAACTGCAAGCCCAAACTATAATCCAAAATGCGACAGATACCACACAATCACCAACATTAATTGTTTAAATACAAATATGTCAGATACAGTAAGCCATGGCAATTGTGCATAATATGCGATACAGAAATAAGTAATTCAGATTAAGGCCAACAGAAGTTTAACAATTTGTATAATTAACTGAGATGTTTCTAATATCAAGAACAAAATTTTCTCCCTTTTCATTTAGTTCAAATCCAACATTTCGCCTGCCAATTAAAAAAAGCAATAAAGCAGTGTCTGACACTTGGTTCTGCAGTTTAGAATCAGTTTAGAATCTTCTGTCATATCCATAAAACTGATCATCAGTTATAAACAGTCATGGGATTAGCTTTGTAACACTTCAGAGGTTTATAATTAAACATTGCATTAATTTGACATCAGTTAGTAGCAAGGTCCCTTGATATTCAATGCCCACAGCAGATGAAACATATAACAGAATTCTTAAAATGTGATTTTACATTATCCCACTGTATTAATTGAACTTTTAGTTTCCAGACTACAAGGTGACTTATTTTAATCAATTTTACATTGCAATGACTGTTTTTCCTGTCCAGGTTGTGCATAAAGAATTCTTCAAAGCATCAGTTTATTCTGAACATCTAACAGCTTTCAAAATAAACCCAATAAGGAAATGTTACAGTTATCCAGCTTCTGAAATTTTAAGGGGCTGATAATTTTATGTCTCAAGCTGAATGGGAATGTCAGAGAGCATCCTCCATCAAGGAAAATTTATAATGCACACAAAGTGCAGACAGATAATCCTTGAAATACAGCCAAGAATTTTATTTGATTTACACAATGTGGCTGAAAAACTACGTTGTTGTACAGGAAATATTCAATTGTGATTTTGGCCAATTCTTGCACAAAAGAAATAATTAAATCTCGGCTCCATTAAGGAAATCATTCCAATTAAAATCGCCATCACTGTTAAATCATATTTGATCATAAAGACTCCAGTCCCCAGTTGTACACTTGCATGCAAGCTTAACATTTGTGCTTTGTTTATCATTAATAATTCTAAATCAGAATAAAAGTGTTACTTGGCATTTTGCCAAAGACAAAAAGGCAAAGATTGCCTTCATACATTAAATATAGCAAACCTGTTCTTCATACATGTATTTATGATTGGGCTGCACCTAGTATATATCATAAATCTTCATCCTACATATCAAATGTCTTGTATGCTACAGAACAGCAATTTTACAAACTTAAAATTCAAAATTAAATCTGCATCATGCATCTTAAATGCTCAACATGTTCACATATTCATGCTTACCAACAGTGTCACAGGGTTCATCTTTCTGCACACAAAAATCCTTCCTAAAAAAAGGACAAAGTCACAAAATATATTTTCGAAAAGCTATCAGAGAAAAGTATCAATAATTGCTTCAAGATTAGATGAAATTCTAATTATTACAATCTAACACACTATCAGTTACTCACCAGTGTAACAGTGTTCAAGGCCTCATCTAGGAGGCTAATCATCTGCATTGGTTACATGGTAAAATATGTTCAGTAGAAACATGGGGAAGGCCATAGATCAATCAGCCCTTCAAAATATTTCTGCTTTCTAGTTATTTTCCTAATCAATTTGTTTATAGGTAAAGACATACCATTGTTCCACAAGAGCCCTCTTTTTGCTATTCTATTACACTATGGCTGATCTACACCTTAACTCAATTTTCCATCAACAACTTTACCTAAAGGGAAAGAAAAAGCTCAATCCTGAAATTTCCCCTGAATCCAGCACCCATAGCCCATTGGGAGGAATGTTCCTGATTCCCACTTCCCTTTGTGTGAGAATCCTAACTGGCCTAGCTTGAATTTGCTGAATATAGCATCTAGTCCTGGAAACCCCAACTGAGCAACATGAAAGTAACAGACCGGTTTTGGAAGATTAGGGAACAACCACAAAATAAACCTGTGTACACAGTTTGAGAGCTCAAAAAAAGTTATTTTGAAAAGTATTATTTTTGTTCAACAGCACAAAATTGTAAAGCACAGAAAGAGGCTATTTTTAGCCAATCATTTCTGCCAGTTCTTCCGGACAGTATTCTCACTACATTGCTTTCACCTCAACCTTGTATCAATTGCTTCAAATACTTCTCCACTTTTCCGGTCATGATGCATTGCTTTCTTTCTCAATCATTCTCCGTACCAATGCATTCCACATTCGAATAGCTCCTGAAGTAAAGAGATATTCCTAAACCTCCACTCCCTTATCTCCCACATCTCTCTCTTATTGTCACCAATTCCTAGACGAGAGCAAATACTCGTTCGCTAGTCTTAAAACTCTTCATAACATTAAAACCCTTGACTCAGTTTTCCCTGAGCTTTCTCTGCTCCAGTAAAACTGGTCCTATATTTTTCAGAAACAACAACATAAATTGATGGAAAAGCTCAGCAAGTCTGGCAGCATCTGTGGAGAGAAATCAGAGTAAACATGTCAAGTCGAGTGATCCTTCCTGACAATTGAGCTTTTCCAACAATTTCTGTTTTTGTTTATGATTTACAGCATCCACAGTTCTTTCAGATTTTACCTATATTTTTCAGTCTGTTCTCAAATGTCCTGTGTCTGGTGCTATCCTGATGAATCTACACTGTACACATTTTATGCTTTAATGTCCTTTCTATAATGAGACATTCAGAACTGTATACAGTCAATTAACTGTTGCCTAAACATTGACTTCCAGAAATTTACTATCTCAGCCTTTAGTTTCTTTTGGCTTTATGATGTCAAAAATAGTCTGGATTCAGTTGTTAGGCTGAAATTATTTGGTCTAGCCATGACCTCAGCTGGAATTTTAAACAGCTCTCTTCAGACCACAGCTCCAGGAGTAGGGAGGGAGGGAGAGGTTCATGTAGTGTCATGCCTGTTCACTGATATTTTACCAGCAGCAGGGGATATTGTGGTTCCTTAGCTTACTCTTCTGCTGGTGATCATTACATGGTCAGACAATGGCCTCTTCCTGCTGGTTACTTTACTGCCTGGAGAGGTTGTCACAAACACTGGTGAATGCCCTATGGGTTCAAGGAGAGGGAAGGATAGGTACAAGGATCTGTCCTGATTGGGCATTCTTATAGTTCACGGAAGGCCTTTCCAGTAGTACTGGTTGCCCTTTTGAGAAGGCCTCTCCAACCACTATCCTCACAGCAACTCCCTATATACGTGTGTACTGCATTCCCTTTACCTTTGGAGTCAATCTTAGCAAAAATCTCTTCGCAACTTTCACTCAGGTTTAACTAGAACCTCTTAATTAACGCAGGCAAAAAAAAAATTGACCAATTTGGACTTGAATGGGAATTTAAATTTAAGCATTTGCAAAAATAACACCAGACATCAATTTTGGTGCAGAAGTAGAGTCCCTACCCCTGGACCGGGAGGCCCAGGTTCAAGTCCCACCTGCTCCAGAGATGTATAATGACATCCCTGAACAGGTTGATTCGGGAAAATAGGTTAATAAAAAAATATTACTTTGCATGCTGCTGATAGGATAAGAAGATTGAAGAATTCCTCTAATCTAATAATTAACCTTAATAACGGAAAGACAAAAAGAATCAAAGGCAAACAAAGTAGAAACATTCTCTCAGTTACAACAATTAATGACAAAGTTTTCCTGTGAATTGTAACCAAAAAGTTCACAACAATGATAACTGATAATGGAGAATGAAGATATTCAGTAGGGGTCAAGGAGAGAATCTATCCAGTTTCTTAACTCAAACAATAGAGGTACCATTGAATACAGGAGCAAAGGAAATAGAGGAAAGAATTTCAGGAAAATTACAGAGAGATGCAGAAACTATAAATTGGTGATAGCGGGAGAGTTCAGCTATTCTGACATAGATTGGATTCAAGTATTGCAAACGGCAGAGATACAGAAGTGTTTCTGAACCTTTGAGAGAAAAATCACAATCAGTACATTTCCAATACATTGCTAGAACTGCTTCTGGGGGATGAGATGGGAAAAATGTGAGTTGGGAAACATTTAATGAACAGTGATCACAATACTATAGGGTTTAGGTTTGCAATGGAGAAGGACAAGGAGCAATATAGTGAATAAACATCTAATTGGAGGAGTGCCAATTTCAAAAAGATAAGAATGGGATTGTCCCCGAAATATTGGAATGAGAGATTGACAAGCAAAACTCTAAGGAAATAATGAATCACCTTTCAAGAAGGGATTGTTCAACTACATTTGAAATACATTCTCACAAAGATCAAAATGTTGGGCAACCAAAACCAGAGCTGTCTGGATGATAAAACAGACAGACAGTTGAATTAAGAGATAAAATATTTTGTATGGCAGCAATCATATTGATAACACAGTGAGAACCCAGTTGAATGTAAAAAAGAGCAGAAAAGAAATAAGCAAGGCAAAGAAAGAGTATGAGGTTCATAGTTGACAGAAAAGGGAATCCAGGAGTGTTCTTTAAGCATATAAACAGTAAAATTGTAATAAGAGGAGCAGTGGAACTAATGAGGGATCACAAAAGGGTATCTATGCATGGAGGCAGAAACCATTGCAGAGACTAAGCTTTGCATCTGCCTTTGTGAAGAAAAATCATGTTGCCAAAATCATCATGAGAGAGGACATTGTTGACATACTGGTTTGGATAAAAATTTAAAAAAAGGAGAGATATTAGAAAGGCTGGGTCAGCTGAGAGTTGATAAGCCACCAGCACTGGATAGGACGGTCCTGAGGATGCTGAGAGAAATGACATGAAAATTGAGAAAGTAGTGCTATAATCTTTGAATAATTCATGAAATAATAGTTAACAGCACAGTTGGATGTCAAACTTTTGAAACATGCACGTTCATGCAAATTTTAAATGCATGTTTAGGTGGCTGGATAGCAGGCATCTCTGAAGCCACTTATTGGCAACCAGCACTACCTAAAAAGAGTTGCACAGAGACCTCAGATTGAGAAAATACTCATTGATATTGAAATGGCTGCAACAAGCAATGACAGAGCTTCCCTGATGTTGTCTTGGAGACCCATGGTTATTCATATCCCTGTTTTAAAAGCTGCTCTGCAGCACCCACTCTTCCTGATAGAGGCTGCCATAGCTTCAGAGTTGTTAGCCCACCAACTAAGCCAACAGCACCTATATCCCTCCCAACATCCTTAATAGGGTACAAGTTTGGAATTAGACACTGAGGGGACTGCCTCTAGAAATATCAGTGCCAGTCTGATTCCTGGCAAATGCAGGATCAAGATACCCGTTTAGCCCCAACATTAGATCTAAAGCCTATGGTAAAATCCTGCCTGGTTTCTTCAGCTTCTCCTCCACACTCTGTCCTTAACTACTGACTCCATCCCTCTCCCAGGTAACTGTCTAAGGTTAAAAGGACTGTTTGCAACCTTGACTTCTATGTAGCATAAGCTAAACCTACCCATATATACGTGCCATCACTAATCCACCTATTTCCACCTCAATAACATTGCCTGATTTCATCCTTGATCAAGCTCATGAAATTCTTACTCATGTCTATGTTACCTCTAAATTTGACAGTCCAAAACACTCCACACTGATCTCCCACATTCCTCCTCCATAAATCAGAAGTCATTCAAAATTCTGTTGATTAAGTCTTTCATCATGCCAAGTTCCATATTATCTCCATGCTTGGCCTCCTGGTCAAACAGCAAGTTGTGTTTAAAATTATCATTTCTTTCACAAATTCTTTATGGCTTCATGCCCATCCACTCCTCTAATCTTCTTTGGCCCCACAACCTGCTGAGATCTCTGGACTCATTTCATTCTGGCCACTTGAGTATCTCCGATTTTAGCTGGTCAACCACTGGCAGCTGCTCCTTCAGTTATCTAGGACCAAAGATCCACAATTCCCTTTCCAAACCACTACTCCTCTGAGATAACAAGGTGCAGAGCTGGATGAACACAGCAGGCCAAGCAGCATCAGAGGAGCAGGAAGGCTGACGTTTCAGGCCTAGACCCTTCTTCTGAAGAAGGGTCTAGGCCCAAAACATCAGCCTTCCTGCTCCTCTGATGCTGCTTGGCCTGCTGTGTTCATCCAGCTCTGCACCTTGTTATCTCAGATTCTCCAGCATCTGCAGTTCCTGCTGTCTCTGAAACTACTTCTCTCTGCCTCTTTCTTCTTTTATGATGCACCCTAACAATGTTGTGACCATTCTTTTCATCGTCTTCTTACATGGCTTAACATCTAATTAAGTTTGCTAACACTCCTGTGTTGCCCGTAGCCACATCTGACCACTAGAAAGGCATTGTATTAAAATTTTGCTGCAATTAGGCTTTCACTTCTTTTTGAACTATTTTAAGATCTATTCAAAAGTTACACAAGGCACCAAGTTAAAACTAAAGTAGCTGGTAACTAATTTGCTATTCTCACCTCGTTATCAGGATGGCTGCATCAACAGCAGGTAAATCTTCCCTCCAACTGGGAGACATATCACTATCGAAATAATTCTTCCTTCCAAATTCTTCATGTTGCCATTTGCAAAAACTTTCCAGCATCTTTTCCCCATGGTGGCCTATATAAAGGTCTTCCTACAAGGTAATTAAAATGATTAATTCTAATTGCATGTCTTAAATGAGATCTTCAGTACTTAATGAATTAAGTGGAACATTTATGTTTAGTGCTGCAATAAATCAATTTCGATTAAGATAAGATACTCCTAAAATGTTTGAATCAGTCTGCCTCCATTTCACCCTTTAATCGGCATTCCACTGATAAATACTTTTACAACCAGAGACCTGCAAAACATTTGCAATGAAGACTATACCTATTGCAATGATTTTTTTAAAATCCATACCCCAAAACATTCAATCCTTCCCATGTTGTAATCCTCATGAGATGCATATTTCATTCCTTTCACATCATCCCCATCCCGATTCTATCCCTACCATGTCATGTCATCCTCATGCCCCATTCTGCACCTCCCAGGCAGTTACACCCATCATGCCACCAGTGACCCATTTTGTCCTTCGCTGTCTTCCATCCATCCTCCACTTTCCATGCAATCTACAGCCCTAACACATCACTACATCCTGCCATGGCAATGCAGTCGTCCACAAAACTATGCTCTTCCCACACCATTCAATCACCGAATTCCTGTCCCATACCATTCTCCCCTTTCCTACACTCGTCTGACACCTCCTCATGCCATATCCTCACCCCACTTCATCCTTGCATGCCAATGGTGGGAAGCTGCAGTGTAGTAACCAATGCTGGCAATTAGAAAGACCCTGGGCTAGAGCCTAGTAAGTGACATTGCAGAGCTGTAGTCCAGTAACCAAGATTGCAGGGCAATGAGAGCTAAAGACCAGTTACCATGGCAAAATTGCCAGTCTCCACCCATTAAATCAAACCATTGACCAAGCAGAAATATAAAAAGAAACTATTACTGTAACTAGATAATAAATCTGGTTAGAAATGACGCTGTGTGACAATATTGGATTAATATCTAACATTGATACCAAATTCCACTGTCACCTATAAAATTGCATTAATCTCACCATTAAAACAACACAATGCCATTCCATTTAACTACTGTTCATTGTAATTTCTATTTTTAAATTTAGAGAAACATATTCTGCCCATATTGAAAATCTTCAGATTTTTCAGAACCAGTTGTGATTGGGTTGCCATGTTGCAGTCTAATAGTTATATCCATGTAACTGGTATTAAATTCTCAGAGATCACACATTATGCACTGGCCTGTTAGTAGCCGGATACTATGACCATAAGACCATAAGAAATAGGAGCAGGAGTAGGCTGTTCAGTCCCTCTGCTCCACCATTCAAGAGGATTATGCCTGATCCAACATTCCTTACGTTCACTATCCTGCACTTTCTCCATAACCCTTGATTGCTCCACTCTTTAAGAATCTATCCATCTCAATCTTAAATATACATGAGGACTCTGCCCCCACAGCTCTCTGTGGCAAAGAGTTCCAAAGACTCTCAACCCTGAGACAAGAAATTCCTCATCAGCTTAACCTTAAATTGGCACCCCTTTATTCTGCTTCTCGACTCTCCCATGAGAGGAAACATCGTCTCAGCATTGACCTTGTCAAAACCCTTAAGAACCCTGTATATTTCAATGAGATCACTTTTGATTCTTCCAAACTCCAGTGAGTAGAGTCCCAGCCTGTCAAACCTATGCTCATAAGACAATCCTTCCATACCAGGGATTATCCAAGTGAACATTTTCTGAACTGCCTCCAATGAAATGATATCTTTCCTTAAATAAGGGGCCCAAAATTGCTCAGTGCTCCAGATGTGGTCTCACCAGCACCTTGTACAGTTGTAGTAAGACTTCTCTACTCTTATACTCCCTTTTGAAATAAAGGCCAACATTTCATTAGACTTTCTAATTACCCGCTGCATCTATGTGTTAAATGTCTGTGTTTTGTGCAGAAATGCCTCCAAGTCCCTTTGGCTTTCAGCTTTCTGCAGTTATTTTGTTCTTTTCAAAATGAACTATTTCACATTTTCCCACATTATACTCCATAATGACTGCCTTTTGCCCACTGATCTAACCTATCTATATCTGTCCATCTTCTCTCCCATCTATCCGTCCCTCCCACCTCACTGACCAATCCCCACCACTGCCTACCTGCACTCACCTATCACCATCCCACCTACCTTCCCCAGCCCCACCCCTCCTCTCTCTATTTGTTTCAGAGCTCCCTTTACCCTCTTCATTTCTGCAGAAGGGCCCGAGCTGAAACATCGGCTTTCCTGCTCCCCTGATGCTGCCTGGCCTGCTGTGTTCCTCCAGCTCCACACTGTGTTATATCTATATCTCTGTAAACAGTTTGTATCTCTCTTGCAACTAGCCTTTGTACCTATTTTGTAAATTTGGTTACAGTACATTCACTTCCTTCCTGTAAATCATTAATATATTGTGAACAGTTGTGGTCCCAGTACTGAGGGTTTCTAATGCCTTTTAAAGGTAGTTAGTACCTCCTAATGGGGAACTTCACTCATTCTGCTGGAGGAAAAAAACATTGTAAAGAACTTGCTGCAACAAGCACTGAGTGAGCATCAATATGAAATCTTGTTCCAAGAATCAAATATTCCTTGGGAATATGCAGAGTTATGAAGTTCATGGAATTCCTACTGGGTCGGAGCAGGCTATTCAGCCAATCAAGGCCACACCAACTCTCCAAAGACCAACACACCCAAACCCAACCCACCCCTCCTCCTCCATCCCTGTAACCCTGCATTTCCCATAATATCCCTGGACACTATGGACAATTTAGCATGGCCAGTCCACCTAGCCGGCACATCTTTGGACTGTGGGAGAAAACTGGAACACTCAGAGGAAACTCACACAGACACAGGGGGAGAATGTGCAAACTCCACACAGACAGTCACCTGAGGGTGGAATCAAACCTGGGGCCCTGGCACTGTGAGGCAGCAGTGCTAACCACTGAGCCACCATGTTCAGTGATAGCATGGATATATAACAGATTTTTTTAAGTGGCTACTTCTAAACATAATAAATGTTTGCACTTTGATGCTTAAATGTTGTTAAGGAAATTCTAAATCACTTCCAAGTACAATCCACTATATTTAGAGGCAAAAAGGAAATTTTAGCATTATTAGATGCAGGGCAAAATGTTGAACTACGTACTCCCGGCATGCTTGGGTTCTCTTAGTGCTGTTTATTTTTCCATGAGTACAGGTCATGAATGGACACAAACATCAGTTGATATTGAAAAAGAGACCCTCCTTTTCCCAGCCAACTGGAAGAAACTCAACTATTCACAGCTTCTCAGCTGCCCAATGCAGGGGAAGCTAATTGCACACTGATATTTGCTGCCCTGCTATCCTAATATGAATCAATATAGGTTAGGCTGAGGGGATCATGTAATGACACCTGTAGAATGCAATTGGTGTAGGGTATACACTATAAACCTGCTAGTCCACAGTTGGCAAAGTTAACTTCTGGAGCATGAGATTCATATGTGTCCCATAGCTTCTAGTGCTGTCCTGTCCTAGCTGGCTTTCTGAAGGATAGGTGATACCGCTAGCTATTATCTGCATTGTTAGGGAATATGGATACACCTATGTGCTTATTCTTTGTGTGCTCCAAACATGATGATTTGGCACACTATCCTGATGTCGTATGATGTGACTGGCTAACCTAAAGCCAGGATTGGACAATACAGGTTCTAGCAATTCCTATATGGTTCAGTGATCGAAAAATTAACTGATGGGTTGGCAATATCATTATTAAAGGGACAGGTACCCCGACTGCACATAGGTCCATACAAACGCTGGAAGAAGTATAGGGGCTACAGTGTCAGTGTCTCTGCATTTAAAATTTTAGCCCATTGAAATAGCTGAAACACTGCAAGTCTCAGACAAATCTGCTTTTCACTGGAGATTTTTGAGTGCAAGAAGAGTGAAATTTTTGTCTCTTTTATGCATTAACTTGACATTGATGGCACTGAGAAAAATGGCACTCATAAATACTAGCATCAACATTGTGTGATCTGTTGTTCTACATGAAAGTCTACACAAGAATCAGAGTTAATAAAGTTATAACCACAATTTATTCTGCTCCTCCTCCATGCTGCTGACAACTGAACCCAGACAGAAAAGGAAGTGAGAATAACTGCAAACAGTGTGAGTGAGGAAATGTAGATTTGAATCCAAAGGGAGCAAGCTCCCAAAATTGGGCGTGGGAGAGGTGGGTCGGTGTTCATGTAGGAGGTAGGATGATAGTGTAACCTTGTGATACAACCAGGTATTGGGCGGATTTCCACACTGTGTGTAGTTGCAGTTGGGGTACCCCACATCATTAAGGTCCTGGGTGAAGAGCTCTGAACTGGCTCCCTTTCTTTATTCACCCACTCCCTGGGTGAACAAAAGTTAATTGAAAAAAAAGTCACCTCCACTATGGATAGCTTTCTCCAAAACAAAATGGCTTCATTTCAAAAGGAGCCAGTTGAACTTGAATTTGGTGGAAGGTTGAATTTATTGGTTATTAAACACCAGAAGAATTAATAATGTGCACACAAACACACAGATTAGGAATAAGAAGGTAATCCAAAAAAAGGTAAAAGTTACAATAAAATGGATCAGTCTCTGAGCGATTCAAGAACAGTAGATCACAGAATCATAGAATCATGGAATCATAAAATTCCCATATTGTGGAAGTAGGCCAATCGGCCCATCAAGTTCATACCAACCCTCCAAAGGGCATCCCACCCAGACCCATCTCTGTAACCCTGCATTAGATAGTAGAAGGTTGTGACTGTTACAGTAGATGTTACTGGTACCATTCAGGTTGGTAGTTGTACAGTTGATTTCAAGATTCCTGAATTTGCAGGTTAATTGAAAATCTTTTGTCTTAGTTACTGAACACTACTAAAAGTGATAGAGGTTCTTTTTCTTTACATGTATTACAGGGATGTTAAATTGTTGTTTTTGGAACTGTGACCTTCCCAGCACACTAGTGCACACACTAGAATGTAGAACCATTAACACACAGACAATTGTTCAACACATTTTTGACCCCGTGTTTTGTATATCACAGTGAAGGTAAAACACAAACATGTCTGCAGGTGATGGCTTTCTTCCAATGAGGTTTTGGGTAGTAAGCCTCTTGTTGTCTCTACCTTACTGGTATTTCCATTTGAAGTTATTTTGACTGTTTACAGGTGTGACATTCCAGAGTTCTTCACCTGGCAGCCACTTAATTTACTGTGGTAATCTTTTGCCTACATCTCCCATTCTTGAAAATAAAATGCTGCAATTACAAGTTCAGTACATCTAAAGCTGATTGGAGATTTGATTTGTGACCCTGACAATATGGGCTAGGAGGAAGGAGTTATGCCCCTCCTGATCCACGAGGAATGCCTTTACACCAAGGTCACAGTTTAAATATGCAAAACAGTTTAAACTGAAACATTTCAACTCCCCCTCCCACTCCTTGAACAACATGTCCATCCTGGGCCTCCTGCAGTGCCACAATAATGCCACCCGAAGGTTGCAGGAACAGTATTTCATATTACGCCTGGGAACCCTGCAGCCCAATGGTATCAATGTGGATTTCACAAGCTTCAAAATCTCCCCTCCCCCTACCGCATCCCAAAACCAGTCCAGGTCGTCCCCGCCTCCCTAACCTGTTCTTCCTCCCACCTATCCACTCCTCCCACCTCAAGCCCCATCCCCATCTCCTCCCTACTAGCCTCATCCTGCCTCCTTGACCTATCCGTCCTCCCTGGACTGACCTATTCCCTCCCTAACTCACCGTTACTGGCTCCATCCCCGCCTCTTTGACCTGTCTGTCTCTTCTCCACCTATCTTCTCCTTTATCCATCTTCTATCCGCCTCCCCCTCTCTCCCTTTTTATTTCAGAATCCCCTTCCCCTCCCCCATTTCTGAAGAAGGGTTTAGACCCGAAACGTCAGCTTTCCTTATCCTCTGATGCTGCTTGTCCTGGTGTGTTCTATCAGGTCTACACCTTGTTATTTCAGATTCTCCGGCATCGGCAGTTCCTACTATCTCTCAAACTGAGACATCCAGTTATTAAAATGCCAAATCCTCACCTGGATGCATGCTAGAAAATTGCCATTTTGCCATCCAAGTTATGCAACCATACAGCAGTCTGGATCATCCAGTGCAGGAGACAATAGCTTGTGCACCAGTACCTGTCCCTCTACCTTGTGCAAAGTGTACAGCTACAACATTGGAATCTATCCATCTGCATGAAAATTGCCAAGGTTTGTCCCATACACAAAACCCTGGAAAAATCCCACCTGGATATTATCACCCATCAGGCTACTCTTGATCATTAAGAAAATGATGAAGGTGTCATCAACAGTGCTATCAAGCAGCACATGCTCAGCAATAACATGCTCAGTGAAACCACTCAGCTCCTCACCTTATTACAGCCTTGGTTCAGAAAATGGACAAAAGAGCTGAATTTCAGAGGTGAGCTATTGAAGAATCTCCAGACTTGAAACATTTCTCTCCAAAGGTTTTGCCAGAGCTGCTGAGTTTTGCCAGCAGTTTCTGTTTTTGTTTCAGATCTCTACCATTCACAGCTGTTTGTTTACTTTATTTTATTTTATTGAGGTGACAGTGACTGCCCTTGACACCAAGGTTGCATTTGACAGAGTGCAGCATCGAGGATCCTTCCCAAAACTGGAATCAGGGCAAACTCTCCACTGGTTGGAGTCATACCTTGCACAAATGATCATGTGTATGGTTGCTGGAGGTCAGTCCTCTCAGCTCTAGGACATCTCTGTAGGAGTTGCTCAGGACAGTGTCCTAGGCCCAACCATCTTCAGCTGCTTCATCAAGGTGAGGTGAGAGTGACAGCCGTGGATATCAAGGCTGCATTCGACCAAGTGTGACATCAACGAGCCCTGGCAAAGCTGGAATCAATGTGTATCAGGGGGCAAATGCTTAGATCGAGTCATACCTGACTCACAGGGAGATGGTTGTGGTTGTGGGATGTCAATCATCTCAGCTCCAGGACACTTCTGCAGGAGTTCCTCAGGATAGTGTCCTAGGTACAACCATCTTCAGCTGCTTCATCAATGACCTTCCCTCCATCATAAGGTCAGAAGTGGGGATGTTTGCTGATTATCGCACAATGTTCAGCACCATTCACAACTCCTCAGATACTGAAGCAGTCCGTGTTCACATGCAACAAGATCTGGATAATATCCAGGCTTGAGCTGACAAGTGGCAAGTGACATTCGCACCACACAAATGCCAGGCAATGACCATCACCAATAAGAGACAGTCTAATCACTATCAATCCCCCCCTATCAACATCCTGGGGGTTACCATTGACCAGAAACTCAACTGGACTCACCACATAAACACAATGGCTACAAGAGCAGGCCAGAAGTAGGGAATACTGCGGCGAGTAACTCACCTCCTGACTCCTCAAAGCCTGTCCACCATCTACAAGGCACAAGTCAGGATTGTGATGGAATACTCCCCACTTGCCTGGATGAGTGCAGCCCCAACAACACTCAAGAAGCTTTACACCATCCAGGACAAAGCAGTCCACTTGATTGGCACTACATCCACAAGCATTCACTCCAGCCACCAATGCTCAGTAGCAGCAGTGTGTACTATCTACAAGATGCACTGCAGAAATTCACCAAAGATCCTCGGACAGCACCTTCCAAACCCTTGACGACTTCCATCTAGAAGGACAAGGACAGCAGATACATGGGAACACCACCACCTGCGAATTCCCCTCTAAACCACTCACCATCCTGACTTGGAAATGTATCAAAGTCTTGAAACTCCCTCACGAACAACATTATAGTGCACCAACACCAAACAGACTGCAGCGGTTTAAGAAGGCAGTTCGCCACCACCTTCTGAAAGGGAAACAGGGATGAGCAATAAATGTTGGCCCAGACAGTGACACCCCATCCCTGAATGAATGAAAAACATGTGAAGTGCACTCTAAACTTAAAAGTGATATACAATGCAACAAATCAGGTGTGCAAGACACAGGGAAATTAGAGGAAAAATTGCTGCAAACTCCCCCACGTACCCACTGAATGTCAGCCATTTGCAGTCATCTTACTCATTTAACTGGAACCCAGATCAAACCATACTCCCTTCAGACACATTGATAGGCAACCTAATGATCTCATCATTTAACAGATATTACACCACATAAAACAACATTAACATCCTCACAGATCATCAGTGAAGTTAACCTATATGTAATAAATGTGTGTAAATAACAGTCATATGTCCATTGCTTCTAACTTTAGTGTTAACAGAGGGCTGCACATCTTGGCGAATATACTGCATGAGCAGACATGCATTGACAAGCAGTGCAGGAGACACACTCAAAACTATCAGTAGGTTTAAATTATGGGGCAGCTGCAAAGCACTAAATACTTTATTTTACAGCAGACATTTCAAGCCACTATATAGTATAATCTTACACAGAACAACACATCATTTCTTACACTCCACAATGAACTGATATTCTTCTTACCGGTGTTTCATGAAGTAAAACAAGTTTTGTCACTCGTAGGTTCATTTGAATGCCAAGACTTTTGTGTTGGAACAGATTGAAGACCTAGAAAAAAATAGTTTATAGCAAAAAAAAAAGTGCTTGAAGCAGATGCACCAATATCCAGGGACATTAATCTCTCTGACAGCTGAAATGCACATTACAACTGGAAACTGACAAAAAAATGTTGATGAAAATGTCCCAGTAGCTGGATATTGCTTAAGGGAATTTTGATGTCAATGTTTTAAAATTATGTGGGCATTTAGCTTCCACACTTAACCCATGAACAGTCCCTGGTCTGGGTCTTTTTTTAACGTAACCTATTTTTCTAACCAACATGGTCTGGGACTATCCTGTGCTTTTTTTACATCTTATTGGCTTTTTGGATGTTGTGTCACTGGCAAAGCCAGCAGTAACTGCCAATCTATAATGTTCCTTGAGAAAGTGGCAATCAATTGTCTTCTCAAACAGTCTGTCTTTGTGGCACAGTTAATGTTAGAAAGGGAGCTCATGAATTTGTCCCAGTGGCAATGAAGGATTGGTGACATATTTTCAGGTCAGGACAGTGTGTGACTTGGAAGGAAACTTGTGAGCAGCAGTGTTCCCCTGTGCCTCCTGTTCTTGACTTTCTAAGTAGTACAAATCCTGGGTTTGGAAGGTGCTGTCAAAGAAGCCTCAGTGTCTTGTTCTGTGCACCTTATAGATGGTACTCACTGCAGCCACATTGCATCAGGGCTGGCAGGAGTGAATGTGTAAGGTGCTGGATCAGATGTCAATCAAGAGGACTGCATATCCTGGATTGTATAGATTTCCTTTGAACTGTAGTCATCCAAAGAAATGGAGAGTATTTCATCACATTCCAAACTTGGGACTTGCAAATAGTGGAAAAATTACAAGATAGGTCAGATATGGTTAACTCCTTCAGCAACACAAATCGTTTAAGTTGTTCCTGATGAAGGTTTACTGTCAACATGAGATTATTTTTCTCCATCAACTACTGATGGTTCTGACAGACACTTGTGATTCTATTTTTGAAAGGTAACAAAATGTAGAAGTGCATGTCAATCTGGAGCATGACACTATCCCTGAAAGATATGACATGTGAACCATAAGGCCTCTTCTTAAAAGGGTTAAGAAACACTGTCACACTTTTTCAACCTTTGTGTTCTCAGTGACATGCAAGGCCCAATTCCAGCTGGGAATTCTAGTTGCTCCTCAGAGTTGCTGTGCCAGCCCATAGCAACTATGCTAAGTTGAAGATGAAGGAAGCTCAGAAAGGATGACCACCACCCCACTGAAATCCTTCAGACACAGTCTCTGAAGTGGTCAGAGTTGCCAATTCAAACAAGGTCCATGAAAATAAAACAAAGAACTGTGGATGCTGAAGATCTGAAATAAAAACAGAAATTGCTGGAGAAATTCAGCAGGTCTGGCAGAATCTGCAGAAGGGTCAGTGGACCTGAAACATTGACTCTGTTTCTCTCTCCACTGATGCTGCCAGATCTGCTGGGTTTGTCCACAAATTTCTGTTTTTGTTTTAGGTCATGAGAAGGTGGGGTTGTGGGGAAGGGAGGAAATCTGGGCCACAGCAAGAATGTATCGGATTGTTACTAAGTTAGTAATTTTTCAACGATGTTTAATATAGCCGCAATTCATTCTCACCATATTCATGACAGTTAATATGAACCTTCTGACAGCATCAGCTCCATGATAGTTGACCATTGCTGTATCAGCAACAACTAAAGTCTCCACATTATAGTCAGGCGATAATTTATATGCGTATCTCCTGCCTCTTCCTCTCTCCATTTGTTTTCTATTTTTGGATTTTCTTTTATCTGTAAAACAAAATTTAAAAACTGTTGACAAAATATCAAGACAACAAACATCATTTTCCCATACTGACTTAGGAACAATTAAAGCAATGATCAACAATGATCAAGACTAGAACGTCAACACATTGCAAGAGGCTGCAGCATATTGGCCTCCATGCAGAATTTTCAATCAGCAGTGTCAGCTACAAGAGCACTGCAACATAAGTCAAGTTGACAACAAATGGATACTAACATTTAGCACATATTAGTTTGTAGGCTGCATTATTTTGCTGCCTTTGCCGAGATAAATATCAATGAGTTTTTTTCAACTTCCCCAAAGGAACCAAAGTTGCCAGTGAAGAAAAGAATATGTTTACTAAATGAAAAAAAACAAATTGCATTGATATAGAGCCTTTCATGATCTTGAGATGTCCTAAGTGGTTTATGGTGAAAAGGTTTTTCAAGCATAGTCACTGTTGTAATGTCAGAAAAACTGCAGCCAGTTTGCACACTGTGGTTCCCACAAATGTAACAACTTGATGATATTAGTGAGAAATATCTGTCTGAGTAAAAGGCAAACTCTTCTTCTCTTTATTGAAACAGCGTAACAGGATCTTTTATGTCTACCTGAGAAAAAAGATGCAGCTTCATTTTAACATCTCATTCTGCAGGAGTGCCCTCTCTGTAATGCACTGGAGTTTCAGCTGAGATACTACACTCAGTTTCTGGATCGAAACTAGCAGACACAAACTCCTAACTCAGAGGTGAGAATGTAAAAAATGAGACATGACTGATGCTAACATAAGACGACACAATAAATTAGGACCTTGAAGAAAGGCCAGCAACATGTTATACATTTTGCCATTTTTAAGTCAGGCTGTTAGACACCAGAAGCCTTTGCTGAGAAACCAGTTGAGACTTTTCTATTACACTAGAGCAGTCAGTTTGAAGGATGAATGCAGTAGTTGTTTTAGTTTCCATCACTTTTTCCCACCTTGAAAATGTTGATACGTAAACGGCCCTGGGGTCATTGTTCATATGTCTTTGAAAATTAACATGAGAGCCAGCAAGCATGCTGGCCTTTATTGTAAGAGAATCTGACTGCAGGAGTAAAGATCTCTTGCTGCGATTGTATAAGCCTTTGTTAAGACCATACCTGCAGCACATTGTACAGTTTTGGTCTCCTTACCAAAGGAAGGATACGTTTGTCACAGAGGATGTGCAACACACACAAGATTTCTGGAATGACAAGATCATTCTATGAAGAAAAACTGAGGAAACTGGGTCTATATTCCCTAGAATTTAAAAGAATGAAAGGTGCATTCACTGATACAAACAAAATTCTTACAGGGCTTAATAGGATCGATGCAAGATGGATGCTGCTAAAGTTTAAACCATGCAGAAACCAGGGGATAAAGTCTCACAAAGAGTGAGGCCATTTTGGGCTGAAATGAAGAGGAATTTCTTCACAGAAGATGATAAAGCTTTGAGATTCTCTACCCAAGAAGGCTGGAGAGGCTCAGTTATTTAATCTATTCAAGACAGAGATTGATAGATTTCTAGATATTAAAGTTAGCAAGGGATATGAGGGTAATGCAGCAGGTATCAATAGACATGGGAGCAGTGTGGGGAAAATGGTATTAGTCTAGAAGATCAGGCATGATATGGTACAGCAGGCTAGATGGACCAAATGGCCTACTCTTTCTCCTATTTCCTATGTTTGGTTCCCTAATTAATCTAAAATGAGATGTTATCACAGCAAATTGAATCAAATCTACAGCAGACCACTTTTTTTTGTTACACATCTGGTGACTCACAGGAGAGTAATAAGATTCAGGAAACTCTGTCACACAGCTAGGCAGCCAGAAACAATACAACCGGGCTGTAAATTGCAACTCCAGTGTTTAAATGTACTTTCATGCATCAGCAAGCATTTCCCAAAGCAAACTTTATTTCAAAGGAAAATGCAACCAGCTCACCTGTAGGCATGAAGTGATTAATTTCTGCAGTTAAATTTCCCAGTGAAAAGTTAAAGAAGTTCAAACTGTGTATCATTATAAAGCAACTAGACCTCCAAGTGCTTAAGCCAATGAAGCTTTTGATGTTTATTGGCTTGGCTTTACCGTATAATAATTAAAATCCACGGCGAAACTTCTTTGATCACCCTCATTTTCCTAGTCATAGCTGCATAATTGAAAAAGCTGGAAATCAGTGTTTGTGAGGGCAACAGTTCTGAGAGAGTTGGAGAACGTATTTTATTCCTCAATTTATAGATTTCGCTTTCTCTATGGATTCTACCAGGTTTCTCTCTCTAATTTACATTATTAACATTCATAAATTCTTTGAAGTAAACACCCTTTGTCTTTTCCAAACTTTTCCCATCTTGTGCCAAGCAAATGACCATTTTCTAAAGAAATAGTTCAAGAAATGTCAGAGGAATTTACAAAGGGATTATTGTGAGGAACTGGGATGGTTTGAAATTGCATTAGACATCTTTTAACAAATAGGATATTCCATCTCTATTTAAAATGCTTCCTTTTATATCGTAATTTTTGTTTAATCTAGGAGGTTATTATCAAATTTAGATGATAATATACCTTAATATGGTAATAATTGTTATAATCACTCTCCAAAATGATGTCATTATGCACTGATATATGTCTTTTAATAGCCACTCAGAGATAGTTTATTCTCATGGTTGTTGTGTTCATGACAAAGGTTCCCATTCATATTTTTTATAATTGTTTGTGAGTTTACTTGTTGGAAAGCAATAATAAAAAGAGCATTGCCCACTGTAAGTAATTAAATTTGCAGCTTTTTACTTATAACTAGTCATCACATTGCAGCAGGTAGCTCTGGCCACTATAAGATTGTGACGTTAAACTTAAGAACAATAGTGGCGTAGCATTTCAAAGAAACTAAAAATAATTAAATCAAAGGTCCTTTTATTGACTGGTTCTGCTCAAGGAACCACATAACATGAGCCATTGCGAGTACACATAGAGCAAAAGCACTAACGAAAATATAAATAAGCTAGAACTAATATCCATTGTGTTGGTGAAAGGTTATAAATATAAAGCAAGAGATCAGAAAATGGCAGGTCAACGTCCCAATTCGGAACTCAATCACTTTCCATCTCCCATTGGTACATTTAACAAATTACTTACATGTTCCACTTACTTACACAGCCTCAGACACGAGAAACACCAGGAATTGTACTGGTTATGAACATTTGCAATCAACAACCTCAACTGACTCATTGGAAGAAGGCAGAGGGAAAGACAAACAAGTGACCAGCCCAGTGTCATCCTGCTCAGCACTCACTGCACCCTCCCATACTGTGGACAAGAGGGCATAGCTAGGACAAGAGGGCATAGCTAGGACAAGAGGGCATAGCCTCAAGATTAGAGGGAGCAGATTTAGGACTGAACTGAGAAGAATTTTCTTCACCCAGAGGGTTGTTAATCTATGGAATTCCTTGCCCAGTGAAGTAGTTGACGCTACTTCAGTAAATGTTTTTAAAAAAAAGGTAGATTTTTTTTGAACAATAAAGGAATTAAGGGATACGGTGACAACGTGGGTAAGTGGATCTGAGTCCACGAAAGGATCAGCCATGATCTTATTGAATGGCGGAGCAGGCTCGAAGGGCCAGACGGCCTACTCCTGCTCTTAGTTCTTATGTTCTTATTAGCCTGGCTTCAGCCTGGTCTAAGGTTAATTGTGGCCTTTAAATTGCCAATTAAAGACCCCCAATGCTGTATTTCCACCTTTGCCATTCTAATACAATATAAAGGTGGAAGGAAGGTGGCCAGTCCATTATTTTCCCCCCAAAGCTGGATAAAAGGTGGGAATGGGAAGCTCATCTCTTTGTGGATTCCCCTGTGCCTACAGGCTCCCACCCACAAGATGATCCCTCTTCGTCTGTGGCTCTATACCTGACTTCTCAAACAAGGCCTCCTCCTCCCTCTGCTTCCCCTGCCTCCTCACCTAACTACTAGGATTCCCTATCCTTCCTCAGCCAAATTCCCAGATTTCCCTTGAAGCCAAGCATCTGTGGATCTTTTGTCAGGGCTCGCTGTAGTCCTGGTTGTGATTACTTCTTGCTTCTGGCACTGCTGGGACTGCTCAAGTTCTGGCTGATCATGTTGGCTGCTCCTCCTGCTCCTGAGGAGTGGTAGTCCCACTGTCACAGCACAGACTGAGCCATGCAGCAGTCTGTGCCAATGCTGGCCCTTTACAAGTGTAACTTAACCGTCCCTTATCCCAAACTTTCACAAGTCTTCCAACTTCTTTTTTTCCTTTTCAGGCACTTAATTCCTTTTAGAAAGCTATGAGTACATTTGTCTCCAACTTACTCTCAGGCAGTGTATTCAAGAACCTAAATACTTATTGCATTAAAAAGCTTTTGTTTCTCATGTCACTGTTAGTTTCTTTGCACATCATCTTAACTTGGTATCTTCTGGCTCCCCATCCATCTGCTAAAGGAAATAGTTTCTCCCTATCTACTTTGGCTAGACGTTACACAATTTTGAACACCTCAATCAAATTCTTTTCCAACTTTCTCTTCTCTAAGGAAAGAATCCCAGCTTCTCCATCCTCATTACTGGAGTCTCTCTAAACCCTTCAAATCTTTCCTAAAGCACAGCACCCAAAATTGAACATGAAGCTTCATTTGAGGTTGAACCAGTGCTTTCCGAAGGCAGATCCTAACAGACTTCCTCTTGTACAGACCCCGCTCCATTTATAAAACTTGCAAACCCTCATCTGCTTTTTTCAACAGGGATGGCAATGGTGGATCAGTGATTAGCACTGCTGCCTCACACTGCCAGGGACATGGGTTTGATGCCAACCTTGGGCAACTGCCCTCTATGGAGTTTGCACATTCTCTCTATGTCTATGTGGGCTTCCTCTGGATGCTCCAATTTCTGCCCACAGCCCAAAAATGTGCAATTTTGCTGGACTGGGCATGCCAAATTGCCCACAGTGGATGTGTAGGATACATAGATGAGCCATTGGAAATGCAGGGTCTGGGTGAGATGTTCTTTGCAAGGTCAGTGTTTACTCAAAAGGCTGAGGGGTCTGCTTCCACACTATAGGGATTCTATGATTCTATGAACACTTTCTCAACCTCTCCTGCCATTTTCAATAATATTTTCACATAGAGTCTGAACAAGTCTGATGGTCAATGTCCCATCCTGCTTTCAGATAATGGTTCAGAGTAGGTTAGGGAGGAAAAGTAGCAGGATGGAGCTGGAGAACTGGCACACTGGTTAGTCACATCTTCTTGCCTCTGCACTTGACCCCAAAAAGGTCTGAAAAAAATCAGGCTCCACCACTGAGGTTAGATGACTTATCATTGGTACCAACACACAGTGGCAAGAGGCAAATTTTACTCCAAAAGCCCCTAGAAATTCAATCATAGGACAACCAACCAGGGAACAATCACCTCCACTTATGGAGTTGTCCGAATCTCTGGGCAGCTGGTCCTCCAATCACAGGACCTTTCTCTCCTAAATTTGCTTCTGATAGGCAGTGATTGGAGGTAATAAGAAGACAAGTGGTAGCATTGAGGGGCCAGAGATACCCGAGTTCTGGGTCACCGCTCCATAGCCTTACACATTACTTTCAATACTGACCGAGTGAAGATTTTCTTCACTTCACCTTTGCTTCTTTTGTAGGTCACTAGCTTCAATATTTCTCTTTTAATTTTTGCAAAGACAATTACAAAACTTTCCCTTTAATGGTTCCTCCCTTACTCCCTTTTCTTTTATTCATGTTTTCAACCTCACAAATGAAACTCTCTCATCAGTTTTATTATTTAAACATCCTCAATAAACTGAGCAAATAAAAATCACAGATGTTAGTGAAGTGGCTACCCTCTCACTTTCCTTTCTATGGAAGTCTATGGAAAGAAAACTCAGACAAAGTATACCTGTGGTCCTTTCTCTGCACCACATTGGTGCTGGACTTTATTCCATAGACTCTTGTTCCATGCTAAGCCTCATTTATTCTCAAAATCTTTCAATAGAGCCCAAGCTTATTTCATTTTTCCTGCATGTGTCAAAATCTCAAACAACCTCTCTTAAATTTTGAGCCTTCAAGTTCCATTATTCCCTAGTCATTTTAATGGATAATGTTTCCATGGTGTCAGCAACCCAGAAACATCTAAATGTAAAATCTCCTTGAGTGTCTATATATGTATGCAAAACTCTCAATTCCTTTTGGCATTTATCAGTTAGTTAAACCAAACAGCATTAACTATCTATAACTACTTTGAAGCTACAGCACCAAAGCAAGTCACTCAATGAACTAATCTATACTAGTGTTTGTGCTGAAGGTTCTTACAAGTCTTTTCCCACTTTATTTTGTCAGACTACTTTTAATGAAATTGGTTTTATATACTGGAGTTAATTTTGACATTTAAACAAGGAAGTGGTAGATGCAGGTACAGTTACAACATATAAAAGATATTTGGACTGTTACATGAATAGGAAAGGATTACAGTGATATGGGCCAAACGCAGGCAAGTGGAGGTATTTTAGTTTGGGAAACTCAATGGTATGGTCAAGTTGGACCGAAGGGTCTGTTTCCATGGTGTCTGATTCTATGACTCTATGGTTTCATCTGTAATAGCAACACAGTGTGTTTATTTTGAGGACCTCACTTAATTTACATCAGCTGAACAAATTACAAGGTGCCAAACCTCATGCTGATTTTGTTTATTTGAAATATACCTAGTCTGGGTCTCTGTTCCATTATCGCTCGTGGAACGGAGCGAAGGAAGAGTTTACAACCTTTACCAATTAGTTTAAATCTAAAATAGCTGTCTGATTACTTTGAGCACTCACCAGCTGTCCTTCTTCAAAACATCACTAGCCATATTGTTGGGTCTTAATGGTGCAGTAAGGCCATAATACTATTTGAGGGTGACCGCTGACCATTACTGTCCTATTTGTTCTGCTAAATACCTAGCTTGGTTATGTTACAGAGTTGGAGAGATGGTGCAATGGTTCTCCCTTTTTTTCCAAGTTTCAACTAACCATATATGCATTTTAAAGAGACAAAGTGATTTAACCCTTTAAGGGCTCTGACTCCCAAGGATAGAAAGAAGACAAGTTTGTTCTTTTAATTCTTAAACAACAGGAGGTATTATTTTAATTTAGACTTCAGCAGTTCAAGAAGGCAATTCACCACTACCTTACAAAGTGCAATTAGGGATAGGCAATAAATGCACCCAGTCAGCAATGCCCTCATCCCATGAATCAATTAAAAAGAAGTTGAAATGAATTTGCATTAGCATCCATGCAAGTACACACATAAAATGGATTGCAAACGAAGTAGCGTGTATTATAGGAAGGATATTATTAATATTAAACTGGAGAGGGTTCAGAAGAGATTTATAAGCAAGTTGCTGGGAATGGAAGGTTTGAATTATAAGGAGAGGCTGAACAGGTTGGGACCTTTTTCACTGGAACGTAGGAGGTTGAAAGGTGATCATACAGAGGTTTATAAAATCATGAGGTGTATAAATAAGGTGAATGGCAGGTGTCTTTTCCCTACGGTGGGGGATTTCAAGACTGCGGGGAAATTTTTAAGGTGAGCGAAGAAAGATTTAAAAAAAACATGTGGGGTAATTGTTTTTTTACACCAAGAGTGGTTCGTGTATGGAATGAGCTTACAGAGGAAGGTACAGTTACAATGTTTAAAAGACATTTACATAAGTCCATGAATAAGAAACATTTGGAGGGATATGGGCCAAGTGCGGGCAGGTGAGACTAGTTTAGTTTGGGATTATGGTCAGCGTGGACTGGTTGGGCTGAAGGATCTGTTTCCATGCTGTATGACTCTATGACTCTATTGACTGAAATAATTCACTATTATTCTTGAGTCTCTTGAGATGGAAACTTAAAGCTTTGTGGGCTTGGTGATCCCCCTTTGGCTCACTGAAAAAATGGTGGCTAGGAATTTCTCATGACAGAGTCTCAGTGGCTTGGTGTTTTACAGCAGCAGATTCCAGGTTTACTCCAGTCAGGGTCAGAATGTTAAAGTGCTAAACGTCCTTCTGGAACAGTTCACTGAAAATACAGTAAAATGCAGCAGACCTGTCTTGAGGATTTCCATAGAATCCCTACAGTGTGGAAACAGGCCCTTCAGCCCAACCAGTCCACCCCAACCCTTACAGCATCCCACCCAGACCCATTCCCCAAACCCACCTAATCTACACATCCCTGAACACTACAGGCAATTTCCCATGGCCAATCCACCTAACGTGTACATCTTTGGACTGTGGAAGGAAACCAGAGCACCCAGAGGAAACCCACACTGACTTGGGGAGAATATGCAAACTCCACACAGACAGTTGCCTGAGGGGGAATTGAACCTGGGCTCCTGGTGCTGTGAGGCAGCAGTGCTAACCACTGAGCCACCGTGCAAATTTAAAGCTTACAGCAAAGGTTTGGTTTGACCTCCAGAATGATAGGTAAAAGCTAACCCAAATTCCTTGGCTGCTAATGGATTATGGAGCAGAGACAACACAGTGTGGACTTAGGGGAACACAGTAGGCCAGGCAGCATCACAGGAGCAGGAAAGTTGACGTTTCGGGTCAGGACCTTTCTTCAACTAATAACTCTAGTCCCATTTTTCAGCATTTGGCCTATATCCTCTAAGCCCTTCCTATTCATATACCCATCCAAAGCACAAAGAATGATCATTTTATAATCCTAGATTGAAACTTGTTAGTAGCACTGATTAAATTTAAAAAAAGAAACAGTGACTGTTTATACATTTCTGGAGAAGTTAGGTCCAAGCAAATATTTAAACAAAAATAGGAATATCATTCCTGAACAACAATAAAAAATATATGAACAGATGTAAAGATTGTACTCATTAACCTAGAGCTTCTGTTGGCAATATTAGCAAATGTATCCTTAAGATGATTGAATTAAATTATACATTTGACTGACATTTTCCTCTCTCATATTTTAGTCAAGGTGCTAATCTATTTAAAATAATTTTTGGTGTCTACATTATATTAGCAAGGAAATAAATATAGCAAACATTTTGTGTCATCCATTAATATTGTAAACCATAATTTATAGATTATGAGGTAAGCACTAATATCTACTACAATCAATCTATCATGACACTCAAACATAGGCTTCATACCTTTCAAACAAACACTCAAGGATCCATTGAAAAAAAAGGTGTATACCTGTATAAACTCCACACAATGGTTGTGATGCTTGGTTTTCTGCTGATTTTTCATCCATTGACCGTTTTCTTCTGTAAACACGATGAGCATATCCTGTTACAGCCAAGGTGTGATTCAGAGGTTCAATAAATATAAACTCTTCGTTAATCTGAATGAACCCCATCTACAAAATTTAAAAGAGAAAAAAAGTTCAAAATCCCCCTTTCATATACCTGTATGTATGAGTGCACATTTTAGACTTGCTGCATTAATATCTGATTGGGTAGTAATGCATGTCAGATTCCTATCATTTCAATGTTGGCACAACAGCTAAAATCTAATCCAGACAAACAGAATAAATGCCTCCTTCTTCTCTGTGGCAGCTGTTATGGATCACAGGTTAAATAAATTTGTAAAGTCTAAATTTGCTTCTCAATGCATACAAGTCTACACCATAAAATTGAAATGCCACACTGGAGCAGTAGGAGGTGTTCTTCTGAAGCTTAAATGCAGCAGGACAATGAAATAGAATTGTCCCTTGCAGCTGACCCATGTCATACCTGACCTGCATTGCCTTGACTTTGTCAAAGCGTGACAAGCAGTAAAATGTTCCATTCTGCAGTTTGCTCATTCCTCACTTTGATGGGTAATCTAGTACTCTATACTTAATTTCCCAGGCTGATCACAAACTTCAAGCAGCCCATATACATCAATCTTCAACATATCTCTGTCAATTCTCAGAATGTATGGCAAGATCAATGCAGCAACTAAATAAAACCTGTACAAATATCATATTTAAATAACTGAGTGACAAAGTCATCCCAGTTAATAACATGATGTACGAAATAACATATTGATGTGGACTGTAATCGTCACTAATACAGCCTCAAGGTATTTCAAGGTGACTATTCTTGGGCACTATGAATGACAAAGACTTAAAGGATTTAAAATGGGAGCCTTTCTGTATCACAATAGAAAAAGTCTGATAATTACTTAGCAGTTCAGTTACAAAAGAGGAATACTTCTGAAGTAAAAGATATTTTGTAAAGAATGGATTATTCATTGGAAAAATGTTCTTTCAACATTTTTTTGAGAATTAGAATAATATACCCATTTTATCTTTTATTTCCACCTTCGCTACATCATTTTGCCTTTCTCATTTCTGATCATGACTTCCCAAAACAATCAACATTAGTGTTCGTTGTTACTTCATAGGGCATTTGCTGTCTAAAAACTTTCTACTGGTATTTTTCTTGATCATTAAATCTTCTGGTAGCCCACTGTCAAACATTTCATCTAGAGATTCAGCCAAGTTATGAAATTCAACTCTCAGATATATAAATTTATCTATTTAAATATTTGTAAATATGAATGGTGGTTCAAATTGCAGCCTCCTTTTCTCCCAATGGGTTGTATGCTCTACCATCACATCTATTATGATAGCAACATTTAAGAGGCATCATGATAGACATATGAATAGGCAGGAAATAGAGGGATAAGGACCATGTGCAGGCAGATGGGATTGGTTTAGAATGGCATGATGGTCTGTACAGATATAGTGGGCCGAAGGGTCTGTTCCCGTGCTGTACTGTCCTATATTCTGTTGTGCCTTGAGAAGTAATTACTCTGCACTTCCAAAAACTACTCTAGAACTAATCTAACACATGTGAGTCATGTTGATTCTGGCTGAAGGTCACAAAGGTTACATATTATTCACATGAGCTTATCCCATACAAATCACATGGTACAAATAGATACGACACCACTGTCACCAGAGAAACATGAATTTTAAAAATAGATACCAACATTAGCCACTGGGTGGTGCCTTCCGTAGCCGCCTTGCCAAACCTTCGTTACATGGATTAAATTGGGAAAATTTAGCGAACGTAATCTGCTTACTTAGATTCAAATCAAACAGCCACAAACTTGCAGCAGTTCCATATTTGTATTCTGTAACATTTTGACTTACAGTGACATTCACGCAAAAGGACTGATCATCCTAACCATTCCATCAAATCTTCTTTGAGACCTAGATCTAGAACATACTGAAGGCTATACTTCCATCTTTATAGATCTTCCATTCTGGGCCATGACTACATGAAATCACCCTGGTAATTCCCAGCACCTCCAGCACCAAATCATAATGGAATTGTGAAGGAAGAGAGAGAATCAAGAATATCAGATCGGTTGAGTTAAAGACCAAAATTGCCAAGCTTGATGAGGTCACCTTTACCTCTCTTTCCCTATCACTAGCCTATAGGATGGGGGCAGGATTAGGGACAGGGGGTGGTTAATGGACTGAAATGAGGTGGGCAGCTTTACCATTATGTTCAAAATAACAAGGCAGCCAGTTCCATTTTGAATGCCCAACACTCCAGCTGGACAAATTAAATTCACCTAAACAAGTGTATTTGGAATGTACAAAATAAAGTGTCATAATGGTGACCATGAAATTGTCACATTGTTCTTAAAGTTCATCAGTTCACTATTGACCTTAAAAGATACATTGTTGGATGAGACATTAAAGTAAGGCTCATCTACCCGTTTGATTGGATAGAACGATACCGTGTCAATGTTTCAAAGAAGGGCAAGAATGCTATCACAGGGTCATGCCCAGCCATGGCCCATATAAGCGCAGGGGGTCCCCAAATAATCTTTGTAGAGCTTGTTTTGGGAATGGTTCAAACTTTCCCTCGAGTTTTACAATAAGTCAAAGTGGACCCCAAAGACTACAACCAATTTACCTTACGTTTATCAAAAGGAAAGACACACTGCAATCGGCAATCAAGCAAATGCTATCCATCCTGAAGTGTGAAACTATTTATGTAAATTGCAATGTTCTACAAATGTTTTTCCATGTAAAAGACAGGGGGATCGCCTGGGCTCCTTATTGGATGGAAATACTGTGGCGGTGATGGGAGAGTGGGGGTAGGTTTATCCATGCCTTTTATCCATGCCAACAAACGTGAACCAGGTGCCATTAAATTCACATACGGCAGTGACTTTATCTTGAACAAAGGTCATAATGACAAGATCTTTTAATATAGTAAGTATGTATAGCATGCAAATTTATTACGAGCAGCAGCACCTCATGTGACAACATGCTGCAACAATCTCTACATTTGAACCTGCCTTAAGGAAAGTGAAAGTTTGTTTCCCATCTAATTAAATCAAACCACCTTTTTAAAATTCATTCATAGGATGTGGACATCTCTAGCTGGGCCAGCATTTATTGCCCATCCCTGGTTGACCTTGAAGAGGTTATGGGAGCTGATTTGTTGAACTGTTTGCTGTGTGTATGCTGTAAGTACAGGCTCCATGGCACCATGAGGGGAACTATATTTCTTGCTCTTGCAGGCCCCTTCATGTTCTCCATGTGGTAAAAATTGATTACAGCCTTATTTTAAGGACATTACAATTGGCTCAATACTAATACATGCCCAGACCTGACTCTGGTCCAATCTCCAGTTGTGTTTACATTATTTCGATGAGCTGCTGTGCCTGCCATATGTCCACAGGCGATTTATCCACTTTACACAGTTCAACATCAGGTTGGTTGCTTTCCTTGTAATAATTTCCTCCTTACAATATATACCACTCAATAAACAAAACTTGAAAATATATTCCACTCACAATAAAGCCTGTTTCACTATATAATTGTATGACAGCTACTGTTGAGTAAACTTAATAAAGTCTTGGGTGATGGTCCAAAACAGGCATGGAGTTCCGTTCCCTTGTTCAGAAAATAATGTAAAACTAGTAGTAAGACACATCCTGCTGGTTTTACATCATTTTAAACAAGCATTGAAAGGGATTAGATTTCAAGACTAAAGAAGTTGTATAGAGCTTTGGTGAGACCATATACGGAGTACTATGTACAGTTTTAGTTTCCATTTCCAAGGAAGAGTAAACTTGCATTGGAGGCAGCACAGTAAAGATTCATTAGATAGTTTGTTAATGTGGGAACCAGAGTAGATTGGGCTGTTACCTTTCACTTTTCTCAATTCCAGAGTGCAATCTCATTGAAACATATCATAGTGAGAGGCTGAGACAACAAGGTGTACAGCTGGATGAACACAGCAGGCCAAACAGCATCACAGGAGCAGGAAAGCTGATGTTTCAGACCTAGACCCTTCTTCAGAAAAGAACTCTAATTCAAGTTACTTTTATACACATTAAGAGGGAGAAATATTCTTATATTGTTTCATTTAAAAAAAAACAACTTTTGTAACCAGGGTGCAAGTGCCCCTGGATCACACATGTAAATGGCAAATCCATATAATTGTTTCAATATCTTTCTTAGAACACAGTGGCTGTGAAATTTGAATCTGACTTTCACCTGAAATCAATTAATATAGACAGTCACCTCCAAACATGTTTAGTGAGTTGTTCTCATGCACTGCCCGCGCCAGGGCAGATGTTAATTTACAATTTAGTTGGTCCACTGAGATTTTATGAAGCATCCCTCTATTGCTGAGTGATTTCTTTCACACTCTCCATTAAGACAGAGACTCTGGGAATTCCCTAGGCATTCCTAGGATTCATTTGTCTGTTACAGTTTCCCAATTTCCATAATCTGTTTACTTACTAAGAGATCGTTCATAAGGTCATTGAGTTACAGACATGCAGCATGGAAACAGATCCTTTGGCCCATCTTGTCCATGTTGACCAGGTTTCTCAAACTAAACGGTTTTCATCTGTATCTGTGCAGTCTCATATTGTCACAACTATTCATCCTCCCTGCTTCATATTTATTGATAATTCCAAAATCTTCCTGATGACTACTATCAGGCTAACTACCTCATAATTCTCACCTTTCTCTCTCTTACCTTTTTTAAAAGCAACGTCATCTTTACGAATTTCCATCACAGAGTACAATCTGGAATGTAGGGAATTTTGGAAACTTATAACCAATACACCTACCATCTGCAGCTACCTCTTTTAGAACTCTGATAAGTAAGCCATCAAGTCCTGGAGTATTTGCCAGTTTATTGTCCCTCAAGATCTCTAATATATTTTCTGCTAATATTAATTACTAGCCCCAAAGTTACTTTCTATTTTTCGTGTCTAACTTGTGCCTTTTGCTATAAAGGCAGGATTCAAAATATTTCTTCATTGTGTGAGCCATTGTCTCACTCCCCATGAGAATTTTCCACCTACGTTTTATGGGACCAACATTTACAG